AAAAAAAAAAAAAAAAAGAACCAAAAGCAAACACAATATCACTCTTCACAAATTAGGCTTTTTTTTTTTTCCCCTAGGGAACTTACATATTTTCAAATCCTTAATATCTATAAATTAAGTAATGGTAATATAATAATAGATAATCTCTACCTTTACATTTAACAAAGAGTGGGGATCTGGCCTTAAATTCCAAGTGATTGCTGCATCAAAAAAGTTCAAAACACTTGACACCTGAAAGAAGTTTTCTTTACATTTGTGATTTATTCCACTAGATATTCTGTCTCCCTTAGACACACAGCTACAATGATTGTGACCCATGGGCATATGGGAGGTTTTGTGGGTCTGCTTGCTTGATTGGCTTTTGAGTCCTTTTTCTGTAGAGATCTCATGGACCTTGCCTCTGTGGCCACACTCTTACCAGTTACTTCTTAAAAGCAGTATCCTTTCGTGGGATCATTACCCAGGAAGGTGTTTTACCACTAAATGGACCCAGAGGGTCAGATTTGTGGGTTTGTCTTTGCTAAGGTCCCGACACAGGTCACCAGTTGCCACAGGTGGAGACTAGTGCCAGTTGCCAGCACGCACAACTCTGAGGATAAAAGACTCTGATGCCCAAGCATTGCATGATCGATGCCCAGTGACTGACTCAGACGAAATTCATAAGTAATTCTGGTTCTCACTGTTGGGTTCTCTACTGTTCCTTGAACTACTGGTAACCCTGTGAGAAATGCCTGCCATTTTCTCAAAACTTTTTTGTCATAAGACATTACATGAAGACGCTTTTTTCCTTGTTAGCTACTTGTCAGTGTCCTAGAGATGAACGCAGAGAAGTAGTTTGTTTATTTTTTGAGTTAGAGTCTCATTCTGTTGCTCAGGCTGGAGTGCAGTGGCATAGTCATGGCTACCGCAGCCTTGACCTGCTAAGCTCCGGCTGTCCTTCCACCTCAGCCTTCCAAGTAGCTGGAACCACAGGTGCACACCACTACATCCAGCTAATTTTTTTTATTTATTGTAGAGACGAGGTCTTGCCAAGTTGCCCAGGCTGTCTCAATCCTCTGGGCTCAGTCAATCCTCTCACCTCGGCTTCCTAAAGTGTTGGAATTATAGGTATGAGCCACTATGCCTGGCCAAAGTAAGTTATTTCTTAAAATAGCAACTTACATGAAGATGTAAATACCCTTATACCTTTAAGATACAATAATGAATGTATGGAGGATCTCAAATTGTTGAAAGTAGGGAGCACTTCATAAGAAAAGTAACTTACTATTTTAAATGGTATTTGAGTTTTAAGGTAACAGACAAACTTTAGTACTGCCGATAAGGCTTCTCTCTAACAGCCCATTTTCACCAAGACCAAGTTACTTTAATTCTAATCCAAAGCCATTTCCTGAATGTGTGCTTATTTTTTTTAACTTCTTTTTGACACATTCTGGTGGAGGTGCATGCAGGAGAGGACTTAAATCTGGAATTACCTTTTGGAGGGCAGGCCACTTGTAGTACAGGCTTCTCCTGCTAGATAAGTATTCTAGGAACCCATTGGCATCAGTGTGCCAGCTAGCGCTGTTGTGAGAGGCTGTGTTTGGTTTCGGTGAATATTTTTGGAGATTCTTTTAGTGCATTTGTCCATTTCATGATGGGTGATTTATGAGTGCACCTGCCCACACTGCACTGAGTGTTTAACAGCTTTTGACCAAAAATGGCATGACAACCCCTGCCATGCCCCACCCTCTCCATTCACTCCATCTTGCCCCGAGCGACTTTTTTTGTTTGTTTCCCCATGAAAAAATCCTCAAAGAAAAATGTTTTGCTGGTGTGGAAGAAGTGAAATTTAAAAGTGTCTGAAGCCGGGCTCGGTGGCTCAGCCTGTAGTCCTGTGCCTTTTGGAGGCTGAAGTGAGTGGGTTGCCTGAGCCCATGGGTTTGAGACCCACCTGGGCAATTTGGCGAGACCTCATCTCTACATTAAATCAAAAAATTAGCCGGGCGTGGTAGCTCGCACCTGTAGTTCCAGCTACTTGGAAGGCTGAGGCCGAAGGATCGTCAGAGCCCAGCAGGTTGAGGCTGCGGTGACTGGGAGCGTGCCACTGCTCTCCAGCCTGGGTGACAGAGTGAGACTCCAACTCAGAAAAGAAAAAAAAAATGTCTGAAACACTAAAAAGATATCCAATTGATGGAGTTCAAAAACTGCTTTGAACAGTGGAAAAAATGTCTTGATAGGTGTATCACATCAAATGGAGAGTGCTTGTAAGGTATCTGAAGTTCAAACATGTGAGAATAAGTACACAATATTTATAAATTTGGGGGTTTTTGGAGTCTCCCCTTGTATATGCTGTCAGAATGCTTTTTTAATTTCATGTTGGATTATATTTTTCTAAATATCCGTGTTTGGAATAGTAATGTGCATTTATTTCTGTGTGCTTGTATATGTGTGCTAGGTTCTGATAACTGGTCCCGCAGACACCCCTTATGCAAATGGATGCTTTGAGTTTGATGTATATTTTCCCCAAGATTATCCCAGTTCACCCCCTCTTGTGAATCTAGAGACAACTGGTGGTCATAGCGTGCGATTCAACCCAAACCTTTATAACGACGGCAAGGTAATGTAATTGCAGTTTTTTGTTTCTAATGTCAGTGTATTATATACAAAGATTCTTTGTAATTTCAACAAAAATTGTGCTTTAGCTATCTTCTTTCTAAGAGAAACTGAAGCATCGCCTTCATGTTTCTCTTTCCGGTGTGCACAGATTAGCTTGAGAAGGAACAGGGAAGGAACTGAAAAGGGCAGAAACGTTCAGTGTTCACAAGCACTTAAGTCTTCAGTTACCAGGGGCTGACTTAGTTAACACACTGATGCTACCTGCTGAGAGCTGTCCCAAAGCAGAGTGGAGCAGACAGTGTCTGTCTTCTCCTCCTTCGTTACTTTGCATCTCTCCAGTTCTAGTTGTCTTTTCACAAGTACCAGAAAGAAGAGGAATGGCAAAAGCATTTCACAGCAACCTCCGTGTTCCTTTTTTGTATATCATAACTTTTTTCGCTGTCATAATTACTTTTATGTTCCACAATGAACACTGTTATGAAATTTTTTTTTTAGATTAGGAAATATAGTTTATTTAAAAATTAAATTAGAAATAGAGAGAGAATGGAGATTCACCTCCCCAAGGTATGGGAGGAGGCCAAAGTTAGGAAACATGACCGGGCCATAGCTCAAAGAGCACATGGTCACACCATAGCTTAGCAAGCCAATGGCAGCAATGACCTGGCAATGGCCATGAACTTACTTTTTAAGTGTAATTTATGTTAAAATGTGCTGGGTGCAATGGCTCATGCCTGTAATCCCAGCACTTTGAGAAACTGAGGCAAGAAGATTGCTTGAGCCCAGGAGTTCAAGATCAGCCTAGGCAACACAGTGAGACCTCTTTTCTACCAAAATAAATAAGTACGCTGTGCATGGTGGTACGTGCCTGTCGTCCTAGCTACTCAGGAGGTTGAGGCGGAAGGATCACCTGAGCCCAGGAGGTTGAGGCTGCAGTGACCCGTGATCATGCTACTGCATTCCAACGTGAGCAACAATGAGACTCTGCCCAACAACAAAATAAAGGTTTTATGTTTTCTTGTATTAAAAAGAGGAAGATACAGTCCCATTAAAAAAAAAAAAAAACTGATGAAGTATAGTAAAAATCATCTTACATGACCGTAAATATTATAAAATTAGATTTGAGAATCATCACTTCTCAAAATAATTGTGGACAGTTTGATGAATTTCAGTTCCATCTGTGCTGATTCTTTGATGTTTCAAAATCACTGGAAGGTGAGAAGGAATACGTAGACTTCATAGGCAACTGCAAGTGTTGTAGCCGTGTAGGCAGAAGAATACAAACTGCCATAGGAAGTCACAGGAATGCTCAAGAGATCATGGGGGTATGACTACCATGAAGACACAAGGCTTTACAGATATAACTCTTTGTCAGTCATTACTGAAGTTACCTGCTAAATGAACTAATATATTTTGCATTACTGCTTTCACAGAGCATTGAAAGAGGAGTGAGGAGCTGAACCTCTGCTTTTTTTTTACAGAACCACTTATTTTCCAAATCTGATGCCTATTACATGAAACTATACATTTAGCACTAACAATTCTGAAAATCTGAAGAGTATGTTTTTATGTTGATAGAATATATGCCAGAAGAACATATATAATAGGCGCTAGTTTTATTTTTATCATGAGTAGTTTACAAGTACAGTACAATAAAATGTCCCCAGTTCTCTTTTTCTGCTGAGTGATCCCTGGGAATCCTTAAGACCCCTTCGGGACACCTGCAGCGTCCTCCCTTTTTCAATTTCTGCTTGTCTAAGGCCAGATTTGATCCATACATTTCAACCAAAACAATGTATTGCAAAAAGCTAGTATGAGGGCAGCTGTGACTTGAGCTCTTGTCTTTTAAGCCATAGTCTGTTATTAAAATTTAGAAAGAGATTTCAAAAATGTGAAATAGTTTTCTTCCCTAAGAACTTTTGTTTTTTGGAAAAGAGTTACTTTTCTAAAAACAGAACTACCATATGACCCCACTGGGCATATGTCAACAGGAGAGGAAATCAGTATAGTGAAGAGACGCCTGTACTCCCTATTTATTGCAGCATTACTCACAGTAGCCAAGATAAGGAATTGACCTGCATGCCTGTCAGCAGATAATGGATAAAGAACATGTATATAAATACATGGGGATACTACTCAACCTTGAACGGCAGAAATCCTATGGGTTGTTTTTTTATTTGGGGTTTTTTTTTTTTTTTTTGAATTGGAGTCTCACTCTATCACCCAGGCTTAAGTACAGCGGCACACTCATGGCCACCGCAGTGTCAACCTGCCAGGCTCCGGTGATCCCTCCTTCTTAGCCTTCCAAGTAGCCAGAACTACAGGTGAATGCTACCATACCTGGCTAATTTTTTATTTATTGTAGAGGATGAGGTCTCGCCAAGTTGCCTGGACTGATCTCGAACCTGCGGGCTCAGACAATCCACTCACCTCGGCCTCCCAGAATGCTGGGATTACAGGCTAAGCCATCGAACCCAGCCAATCCTGTGGTTTGCAGCAACATGGATGAGCCTGGAGGACGTTATATTAAGTGAAATAAGCCGGGCACAGAAAGACAACATTGCATGTTCTCGCTCATATGTGGAAGCTAAAAAAGTTGATCACATAGGCATGGAGAATGGAACGGTGGCTGCAAGAGGAAGGAAAGGTGGGCAGGGAGGTGGGTGACAGTGAGTGATGGATCCGAAATTACAGCTAGATAGGAAGAGCGGGTTCTAGAACTCTGTGCCACTGTGGAATGACGGTAGTAAATAACAATTTATTAGATTTTTTCAAATAGCTAAGAGAGAATTTTGAATGTTACCAACACAAAGAAATGATAAACTTTTGGAGTTATGAATTTGCTAATTATCCTGATTTGATCATTTGTATCTCACAAATATGTACAATTGTGTCAATGAAAATATGTATCTTAAAAGAATTGTTTTTCTTTAAAATATGTTATTTGCCGGGCTTGGTGGCTCAGCCTGTAATCCTGCACTTTGGGAGGCCGAGGTGAGTGAATTGCCTGAGCCCGCAGGTTCGAGACCCGCCTAGGCAACTTGGCAAGACCTCATCTCTACAATAAATCAAAAAATTAGCCAGGCGTGGTAGTGCCTGAGAAGGCTGAGGCGGAAGGCTGGAAGGCTGAGGCGGAAGGATCGCCGAAGCCCAGTAGGTCGAGGCTGCAGTGGCCAGGAGCAGCCACTGCACTCCAGTCTGGGTGACTGAGTGAGACTCCAACTCAAAAAATAAAAATAAAATAAAATATGTGATTAGCCGGGCTCAGTGGCTCAGCCTGTAATCCCGCGCATTTGGGAGGCTGAGGTTAGTGGATTGCCTGAGCCCGCGGGTTCGAGACCCGCCTGGGCAGCGAGACCTCATCTCTACAATAAAATCAAAAAATCAGCCAGGCGTGGTAGCGCATGCCTGTAATTCCACCTACTCGGAAGGCTGAGGCGGAAGGATCGCTGGAGCCCAGCAGGCGAGGCTGCGGTGGCCGGGAGCGGCCACTGCACTCCAGTCTGGGAGACAGAGTGAGACTCCAACTCAAAAAAAATTAAAATAAAAATAAAAATAAAATAAAATAAAATATGTGATTTATGTTGTTATGTTGACATGTAATAGGTACAGGTTCATTTTTCACTCAGAAGAAATTTTGATGCCTCACAGACTTGGATCACATCTGAGCATGCCCATGTTTTTTTCCCCACAGTCTGACCCTTAGGGTTTTGTCTGAGGGCATAAAACTGAGATATTTTGACCTGATGGCATTTTGTTTTTACTTCTAGTCATGTCAGTTTGCTCGTAAACACTCTTCTTTTAATTCTCTGTATACTATTTTCCCTTCTCCAGGTTTGTTTAAGCATTTTAAATACGTGGCATGGAAGACCGGAAGAGAAGTGGAACCCTCAGACTTCAAGCTTTTTGCAAGTAAACAACATTTCTCTGACAGTTTCACTTAGACAATTAAAAACTATTTATTTATTTATTTGTTTACTTATTTAAAACTTATTTTTTAAAAAATATTTTAGTGTCCAAGAATAGAGTAAACACAAAAAAAGATAGATTGGTAGGAATTAATTAGCTTATATTTGTACAGTTAGTACGGTGGAGTCTTGTGTGGAATTTAAAATCTCAAGTTACAGCATAAGACAAAAATTGAGTTTTGTTAAAATTCTATTTTTATAAACCCCAAAGTTGCTCTTAAAACACACTGTGATACAACAAAGTAAGACACACTGGTCTTCACACTCTAGGGCATAAACTCATTGAATAGAACTTAATACAACCGGGCTCGGTGGCTCAGCCTGTAATCCTGCGCCTTCCGGAGGCTGAGGTGAGTGGATTGCCTGAGCCCGCGGGTTCGGACCTGCCTGGGCAGCGAGACCTCAACTCTACAATAAATCAAAAAATCAGCCAGGCGTGGTAGCACATGCCTGTAGTTCTGGCTACAGGGAAGGCTGAGGTGGAAGGATTGCCGGAGCCCAGCAAGTCGAGGCTGCGGTGGCCGGGAGCGTCCACTGCATTCCAGTCTGGGCGACAGAGTGAGACTCCAACTCAAAAAAAAATAAAAAAGAATATAAACTGGGTTCGGTGGCTCAGCCTATAATCCCGTGCTTTGGGAGGCTGAGGTGAGTGGATTGCCTGAGCGTGCGGGTTTGACCTGCCTGGGCACCTTGACGGGACCTCATCTCTACAATAAATAAAAAAAAAATTAGCTGTGCGTGGTAGCGCGCCTCTGTAGTTCCAGCTACTTGGAAGGCTGAGGCGGAAGGATCGCAGGAGCCCAGCAGGTCGAGGCTGCGGTGACCGGGAGCGTGCCACTGCACTCCAGTCTGGGTGACAGAGTGAGATTCCAACTCAAAAAAAAAGCTGGGCTCGGTGACTCAGCCTGTAATCCTGCATCTTTGGGAGGCTGAGGTGAGTGGATTGCCTGAGCCCGCAGGTTTGAGACCCGCCTGGGCAACTAGACCTCATCTGTTTGCAAAGATCATAATTATCTACAATATTTTCAAGAAGCTTACCTCACTGAATTGCTCAAACAAGATAGATGGCAAAAAATCCTGCGGGTGTAAGTTGACAAGAGGCCCCGTCCAGTTACTCTGAACGAAAAGCTGCAGACTGCTCACACCAAGTAGGAATATCAGCTGTTGTCTGTGCACAAGGAGGGTTGAAGAAAGAAACAAGAACCATTGTCGCCAGATGATCTCAAATACACTATTGCATTTCAGCCTTATTAAGAAAAATCTAACATTTATCAAGACTATCCTGGAGTATTTAAAAAAAAATTCTGAAACATAAACAATGTCCAATATCATAGCCATGAGCCACATCTGGCTCTTTTGAATTGAAACTCATTAAAACTAAAGACAATTTAAAGTGCAGTCCCTTAGTCACACTGTCCATGTTTCAAGTACTCAACAGCTAAACATGGCCAGCGGCTACAGTAGCGGGCAGCGCAGATACAGAACATTTTCAACAGAACTGCCTATGTCCTGCTCAGGTACCTGTAACTGCTTCTTGCAGTATATTTAGCAGCTCTGACATTGCCAGGAGATATAAGGACAACGGCCTTTATACAGAGGAAAAATGATGGCATCAAGGTGTTTCTAACCTTTTACTGATGTGGTACCACCAACTGCAAGAACAACAACAAATACCTTAGAAATGTGAGCGCAACCTAGATTTTTCAGACCTGTTTTGGTTTGAGACAGGGATAGGCAAACTTTTTTTTTCTTTGAGTTGGAGTGTCACTCTGTCGCCCAGACTGGAGTGCAGTGGCAGCTACCGGCCACCACAGCCTCGACCCGCTGGGCTCTGGCGATCCTTCCGCCTCAGGCTTCCAAGTAGACGGAATTACAGGCATGCACTACCACGCCTGGCTGACTTTTGGATTTATTGGAGAGATGAGGTCTCGCTGCCCAGGCAGGTCTCAAACCCGCGGGCTCAGGCAATCCACTCATGTCAGCCTCCCAAAGGCGCGGGATTACAGGCTGAGCCACCGAGCCTGGCTGGCAAACTTTTTATAAAGGGACGGTTATGGAATATTTTAGGCTTTGCAAGTCACGTATGTTTTTTCCCCCTCAACTTTTTTATTTTATTTTATTTTTGAGTTGGAGTCTCACTCTTATTGCCCAGGCTGGAGTGCAGTGGCACGCTCATGGCCACAACAGCCTCGACCTGCTGGGCTCAGGCGATCCATCTCAGGCTTCCAAGTAGCTGGAACTACAGGTGCACACCACCACACCTGGCTAATTTTTTGATTTACTGTAGAGACGTGATCGCACCATGTTGCCCAGGCTGGTCTCGAACCCACACTCTCAGGCAATCTCTTGCCTCCACCTCTTGTTTTTTTTTGAGTCAGAGTCCCACTCTGTCACCCAGGCTGGAGTGCAGTAGCACACTCACAGTCACCCCAGCATCAACCTACCACGTCCAGCCAAACTTTAAAAAAAATCATTCTGCCAGGCTCGGTGGCTCAGCCTGTAATCCCGCGCCTTTGGGAGGCTGAGGTGAGTGGATTGCCTGAGCCCACGGGTTCGAGACCCGCCTGGGCAGTGAGACCTCATCTCTACAATAAATCAAAAAATCAGCCGGGCATGGTAGCGCGCGCCTGTAATTCCAGCTACTCGGAAGGCTGAGGCGGAAGGATCACCGGAGTCCAGCAGGTCGAGGCTGCGGTGGCTGGGAGCGGCCACTGCACTCCAGTCTGGGCAACAGAGTGAGACTCCAACTCAAGAAAAAAAAAAGAAAAAGAAAAGAATATGACTCAGCAATTCATAAAACTTGGAATTTGTCGTCCTTTTTTTGCAGAGCATTTGATTTGCAGATTCTGTCATCTTGAATTTTATAAGTAAATTCTTATAAATCACTTGAGCTCATATGATAAAACATGTTACATAATATCCGGTCAAACATTTTTTGCTGATGCTTTATCTTCATAGTCCAGAATCCCGGCAGAGAGATGGGCAAGTTAGTGCATATTTAAAGCATGCACTAATTTTGTTGCTCATTTGTTTAGAAAGGGGAAACAAGCCAGGCTCGGTGGCTCAGCCTGTAATCTTGTGCTTTTGGGAGGCTGAGGTGAGTGGATTGCCTGAGCCTGCGGGTTCGAGACCCGCCTGGGCAACTTGGCGAGACCTCATCTCTACAATAAATCAAAAAATTAGTCGGGTGTGGTAGCATGCACCTGTAGTTCCAGCTACTCGGAAGGCTGAGGCGGAAGGATCACCAGAGCCCAGCAGGCGAGGCTGCGGTGGCCAGGAGTGGCCACTGCACTCCAGTCTGGGCGACAAAGTGAGACTCCAACTAAAAAAAAAAAAGAAAGGGGAAACAATTATTGTTGCTGCATAATATTTTGCATTCATTTATAGTTTATATTTATTTAACAAAGACTACCATAAATTACTCCCAGATAAGCCTTCTAAAGGTAACATACACTTAAAAGATTCTTTTTCTACATCCTCAATTTGCATTAGGTGAAGGAAGATGTGAAAAATAGTACCTTAAGATGTTGTGATTTTTTACTCCTTTTAAAGACCTTGCAGCATCCTTATGAATTAAACAAGCAGTACTACAATACAGTTTTTCCTTTTTGCTAATATAGAGTCCAAGAAAAAAAGGTTACATGATTTATGCAGAGTATGGAAGGTACTAGAATATTCCTCCAAGCAGCTACTTTTGCACTTTAGAAATTACTATGTCAGTACCAGTCCAAAACCTTAAAATATTTTGCTGTAGTCGGGCTTGGTGGCTCAGCCTGTAATCCCGCTCTTTGGGAGGCTGAGGTGAGTGGATTGCCTGAGCTCGCGGGTTTGAGACCCGCCTGGGCAACTGGGTGAGACCTCATCTCTACAATAAAAAAAAAAAAAATCAGCCGGGCTTGGTAGCGCGTGCCTGTAATTCCAGCTACTCGGAAGGCTGAGGCGGAAGGATTGCCAGCCCAGCAGGTCGAGGCTGCGGTGGCCAGGAGCGGCCACTGCACTCCAGTCTGGGTGACAGAGTGAGACTCCAACTCCAAACAAACAAGCAAACAAAGCAACAACAACAACAACAACAAAAATATTTTGCTGCATGTGTGTTACACTTGTCAACATAAACTAAAATTATAATGAGTTTAACTAGGAGAAGAGACAGAGATGTCCTGCTGTTCATGAAGTAAGTTACTTACCTGAGAATTGGAATCAGTTTTTGAATTTTATGCTGAGTTTATATAAATACATTTACAATTAATTTTCAAGACTTTTCAGTGTAAAATTTGGTTTGCTTTTAGCTTTAAATGGATTTAACAGAAAAATCCATGTGTGACTTTTGGTTCCTTAGAAAGTTCATTGATAGGCCTGGCTCGTTGGGTCTACCTGTAATCCCAGCACTTTGGGAGATCAAGACAAGTGGATTCCCTGAGCACACGGGTTCAAGACCAGCCTGGGCAACTTGGCGAGACCTCGTCTCTACAATAAATAAAATTTAAAAAAAATTAACTGGGCATGATAGCGTGCGCTTATTGTTCCAGCTACTTGGAAGGCTGAGGCAGAAGGATCGTCGAAACCCAGCAGGTCGATGCTGGGGTGGCCGTGAGCGTGCCACTGCACTCCAGCCTGAGACTCCGACTCAAAAAAAAGGGAAAAAAAGTTAACTGATAACCTGTTGATCAGAAGAAGCCTTACATAAGCAGTAGATTTACATATATTTTGTGTGTTATATGTATTATATGTTATATTTTTGCAATAAAGTAAGCTAGAGAAAATAATGTTACAAAGACGATAATAAGAAAGAACATTTCCTGTTCATTACATGGATGTGGATCGCCATAAAAGCCTTCATCTTCACATAGAGTAGGCTGAGGAGGAGGAAGAGGAATTGGCCTTGCTGTCTCCAGGTGACAGATGCAGAGGAAAGTCGACATAGGAGTAGATCTGTGCAGTTCAAAC